GAGTTCCAAGCCGGGCTTGTCAAACAGCTTGGAACTCCTCTCCTGTTCCTTCTTTTGCTGTTTCTACATGCCGAGTGGGTCGTGCTGCCTTGTCGGCAAGGGCACTTTGCAGCGACAGGGGCCAGGAGTGGTACCGGCGTTCCCGGAAGTTAATTACTTCCGGGTTCACGCAAACCAGGGCGATCCGGGTGGAACCCACCCCTGGTAAGAACCCTAATTCAACTAAGAACTGAACACTAATTCTTTTCAGGACTCACATACATTTCCTGATGCTATCAACTTCCTCCTCAATCGCAATACTATAATCTTAGTTCTTTGTCCAAAACAAGAGACTCCTGATCTCTTTGCAAGTCAGTCAGAAATTGAGTGGCATTGAAAATACCCTTTTTGTAAATCTGTTTCTATTTTATTCATTTTGGTTTTTATTTTTCATAAAGATTTTTTTTGTACCTCTGCAAATCTTGGAGCTCCCCAAATCTGTTGGTATCTCCTTTTTGTTAATGCAACCATTTTGGCTACAGAATAATTAGCAATTATCTCTGAATTTTTTGTTAAAAAAAGATGGAATTATATATCACTCTATTCAATATTTCTATTGCTCCAATTAAAGCATTTCCACATAAAAGCATAAACCACATAAGGTGAATTTTAACTTGTACCTATTGGTTGAAAATCCTATTACAGAAGACAGTTTCAAACACAACTATAGGGAGTCAAGTGTGCATATCACTTGAATTGATTTTAGTCTCTCTTCCCTTACACACTCAGTGATTCTTTTGCATGAACATTTAGCATCAACAATTAGACTAACAGTAATTTATTTTAAAAACTCAATATGGCCCAAAACCCTAGGCAATCACAATATTAAGAAACACAATTCTTATATAAGAACAGTATTAAGAAACAAACAATAATATGGATGCTTTAAATTTTAGATCAGAATTGACTTATTCTGCAACTCTTGATTAAGCTAAAGTTCAGTGTTGTTTAGTACAAGTAAAGTTAGTAAACTTTAGTAAAGTTCTTGAGCCAAATACAGAATTACTATTTAAGATATAAAAATGCTTAGATTTGTAGAAAGGCAGATGACTTTATTGTATGGATTACTTTGTTAGTAGAGGAAAATATGATACAACAAAAGGTATATTTTTTACTGAGAGACTTCAGAAGAAATAATAATTTTGATGCTGCATACTGATGAATTGTAAGTATTTATTAAATATATTATCAGGCATTCCAGTTTTTCCTCAATCTGAATTAAGAGTTACATATGAGAGGAGTAGTTTATACAAATTTACAAATTGAAACAAAGAAACAAACCTTGATGTCCTTTTAAAAAGCAGTAAATCTGAATATGGGTAACACAATGATCCATTGACTTGATAACTAAATTATGGAACTGTTTCTTGAGAGAAGTTTGGCTTAGTTCCATTTTCTGTTCTTTAAAAAAAAAAACCAAACCCACTGCAGGTATGTTTATTCACCCCTACATTTTTGTATAACTACTACTTCAGAATTTGGCTGCATTTAAATAGTTCTATTATTTTACTGTTCATTAAATGAACATTTTTTAAATATTTTCATTGATTATTTTTAAGCACTAGGGTTTATTATGATGGTTATATATGTGTATGTTTACGTGAATGTATATATGTATGTATGTATGTATGTATGTGTGTATGTGTACACACACACACACAAACAGACACACAAACACATATTTTTGTAAAGTACTCTGAGTGGATAAAGTATATAGATATGATAATAATTTTATGTTTAAGAGCAAGCTTTTAGATTCAGTTTCAGTCTAAATGGCTTCTTACCTGAGACTGCCAAACTAGTTACAGTTGCGCTGGTTAAAGGGAGCCCAGGGTTGACAGTCAAAGCGGTAGCTGCACTGCTTGTCACAAGGCTTGGTGTAGTTGCCACCTATAGATCAAAAAAGATGTCACAAATAAATAAAGGAGTCAAATGAAAACTTCTATATAGCTTTAGATATTTACCGTAACAAGCTATCTTTCATTATTAAAATCCTTAATCTTTTTATGTGTGTGGAAAAATGAAAGTAAATACATTAACAAACTACAATGGGAGAGTTAAATACAGTATTCAGAATTGCATGTGTTAGGTGCTATTTTTCTGCACCAACTACAAAATAGAAATAAGAACTGAACTGGGTACATTAATGTCCACTCATCATAACTATCAAATATCAGATCCTTAAGAGCAAAAATATCAACATCATCTTCTTGCTATACTTAGCAAGAATTATTACATTATCTCCCAATCTAACACAATTCAAATGGTTTTGAATTTTTACCAATGAAGTTGGACAAGGGAACATTGCTTTGATGGGTGAGTTGCTGGTTCCACTACTAGGTGGGTTAATTCTTTTTTCCTTCTGGCGCCGATTACAGAACCAAACACGGATCACCTCTTTTTCCATTTTCAGCTGGTCAGCTATCATGGTTATCTCTTCCGAGGTAGGCTTTTGGTTCTGAAAGATAAAACCATTTAGACTATTTTATGTTGTATGGTATAGTTGGGAACCACAGTATATTTCTTTCTATATTAAAAAAAAACTACAACAAAAGAAGTAAGTACCACCGATAAGCTAGATACAAACTGCATCTTATTACAGAGTGAAAGAAATATTTATATCCCTACAAAATATTTATATGACTCTCACTGGAAACCACATATGGTACATTATGTAAAAGAGTAGCAGACTAAGTTGTAAACATATGTCTCAATGTAAAAATAACTTTTTATTTGGGAAAAAAAGTCGGATATGGAATTGAATTTAACTTGGTAGATCTTAATTTTGCTTATGGAAAAGTACTGCATCTTAAGTTTGGGATTCTCTTGTCACAAGGTTTTACATGATTAAATCTTGCCTGAATTGTTGCAGTAAGAATAGATATTCCTCAATTAGATTTTTTTTAACCAATAGTTCATTCTGTTTAATTATTCTTATTATACTGTCTGCCTTTGTTAATTACTGAATATTATTTTAATAATGGTTTTGAAATGCTGTACTGATATAACCATTGCCTTTGTATCCAGTGCTAATCTAATGTTACCTTGAAAATTCTTATTCAAGTTTATACTGCTTATAAATCTCTTTCCTCTTTTTTTTGCTCTTTTCTTTTTTCTTTTATGCTTTTCTTTCTAATACATCTTCAATTATTTATTAAAATTAAAACATAAAAATGCAAATGACATCTCAATGCAAAGATATACTTGTTTGTACGTGACCTATTTTCTACACAAGTCCTAAAACAATGTGCATGTATGAAAATTTGAACCCCATTTCATCAACTTTTTAAAAACAAATGATTGCAATAAAAACTAAAACCTTATATACTGGGATAGTAAGTGCAAGTACTGACCTCCAGGAAACTCTTCTCTAAGGCCACACGTATATTGGTCTCTATGCTGGTGCGTTTCTTCCTCCTACGGTTCAAGCCCTCAATCCCCAGCCCTGGAGAATTCAGGGCACTTGGGCTGGAAAGAGCTGAATCAGATGAGAGGTTTTCTGCAAAAAGGTCAAGTTAATGATAGTAATTAATGTAATGTAAGCATTAAGTTAATTTAAAGAAAGTAAATTTCATTCATTGTGCTTGCCTAAAAACATACATACATTCCAAAGTTTTATTGTTTGGGACCTGAAGTTCACACGTAGAAATCCATTCCAACAAAACAGGAAGCGTACCCACCAGTGATGGGTTTCAAATTTTTTTAAACCTATTCGGTAGGTGTGGCATGTTTTGTAGGAGTGGCTTGACAGTCATGTGAACGAATGGGCGTGGCTTGGCAGTCATGTGACCAGGTGGGAGTGGTCAACTTGGAAAATGTGGTGACACTCACTTAGTGACGCTCTTGCTTAGCAACCAAAATTTTGGGCTCAATTGTGGTCATAGGTTTTCTTTCTTTCTTTCTTTCTTTCTTTCTTTCTTCTTTCTTTCTTTCTTTCTTTCTTTCTTTCNGTTTTGGAATTTGTATAACTTTTCCTCAGATTTTATTCATATTGTCTTGCTTTGTAGATAATATTTAATCAGTATTTTAAAACTAGGCTTTGTTGAATTCAATGGCATAGATCAGTGGTTCCCAAACTTGGCAACTTTAAGACTTGTGGACTTCAACTCCCAGAATTCTGGGAGTTGAAGTCCACAAGTCTTAAAGTTGCCAAGTTAGGGAACCACTGGCATAGATAAACCATAGATAAACCAGCATGGTTTGTTGAACAAGTGACATGACCTGGTTTATATATTGTGCTAAGCTCAAAGTAGACATACTTTCAATATGGCTTAGTGGCTTAGCATGATATGAAAATTAAACTATGATTCTGACAAACTTGAGAAATTTGTGACAAGAAAAATAATACAAACAAAACTCCTAGGTCTAACCAAAATCAATGTGGTTAGTTTCTTCTCAATTTAAGCCAATTGCTAGACATGAGAACATCACCACACTTCCCTTAAGAGTTCTATATGGGTCCTTAATTAAAATCAATAAAACTTACTAAAAATAATGGTAGAATTTACGAAATACTGACCAGAGAAAGAAAAATGGGTCCCTTTGGAGGAAAAAGTGTCATAATGATATTATCATAGCCCAGGAACTAGTATGCTCAGAAAGCAATTACAGACCCACACTGGCTGAGACTTCTGGGCTCTGCAATCCCAAAGTATTTAGGTAGTGTTAGATTGGGAAGCTGTTAGAAGCTGTTAAGAACATACCTATTTCTAAAGGATGAAAGAACTTATGCAGATAAAATATGTTTATCTAATGACTATGCACAGAGTTTGAGCCAGACATAAACCTGAAAGAGAACAGAGCAGTTTCTTTAGACATTTTAATTAACAGTGAGAGAGAGAAAAGCACTGAGCATTTTGTCAGGTGTTTTGAAGGGAACTGAAAGTTAGTTTAAGTGTGGCAGAAGCAACAGTAACTTCGGCATGAGAAAAGTGCTACAGTTTAAATGCGCATAATTACCATCCGTTCCGCTACTAGGCACGTACAATGGAAGTAAAGGAGTGAGTGACAGTTGCCTGGAATTAAGAGACAGAGAAAAGAAAAGCCAGTGGTTCCAGCTCCCTCCCCTTCCATAATCAAAAGTCACTAAGTATAGGAAGAGGAATGCATTGTGCAACCCTCAGACCATCGTCACAGTGAATTTACTACCTGACAATCAAAAAATAAAAGCACTAGAACTATAGACTGTAGTCCCTCCTCCCTACTGCCACAAAGGGGGGGATGAGGAATGGGGGAAAAAAATCCTAGCTTCAGATTCTCTAACAAGTTAATTCAACTGGGAGACTTTTCTAGGTTTCTGTTAACCCAACCCTGGAAAGAAGCAGTGTTTTAATAAGTGTGTTCCCAAAAGTGCACTTGTAAAAGTCAGGACAATGATCAGATGACACCAAAGCTCTAAGACCATTCTAATGCACTACTGGAAAGTAATCTTAAGTGAGAGACAGAACAGTTTCTGCATGCACTGGTGAACAAGTTGCATCCATGTACTGTTAGTCAAGAACTGCAGGTCTTTGGAAAGTGCACATAAGGAAACACTTTAAAGACAAATTTCATCTTGCACTGCATGGATTTTGATATCATTGGTTTGTCTCTCGAATAAGCCATAAACTGGATACATATATCTAAGCTATAAATGATTAATGTCTCTGTTAAGAGAAGATGCTATGCCAACCACTTTATAACTTACAGTAATGTACCAACCCAAACCATTTTGTATGTATATTTCAATTTACTGCCTTTATTATGTTACCCAATATTTATCTTTCCACACCAAGTCTAACTAAAATTTTTAATAAGGATAAGGGAGCATCACTGGCCAGTTTTGCTAAATTGTTATTAAGATGTTTCTTCATTGATCATTAGATTTCATTAAAGTTCCTTCCTACTTAGTAGTAACAGGCTAAGTCATTGTTTATCATGTTTTGGGCTTCAAGTCAAGACTGCTTGTCTGCCAATACTCCACGCAGATTGTGAGCTACCAAAAGACTTGGTTTTTTTCTATTTAAAAAAAAATCTCAGTTTTAGTGGGTGAATTGTGTTTTTTGTGTCTAGACCTGTTCGGAGAGGAAAAACTGGGTTCCTTCATATGCTAAGCTATACTTTTTGGCAATGTAACTGTGCAAAAAAAAAAAGAGTCAAAGATTTTGATTGAATTACTCCAGGCACAGAATGTTGGTCCATACATGTTCAGGTGAGTGTCTTCTCAACTATATTAGTAAAAAGTTAATTTTCCAAAAAGATCTGCTAGGAATACACCTACCGGTAGTTTGGTAGTGAAATGTCAGCAAGAAAACAACCAAGCTCAAAACACACAAGGATCCCTTAAGGGTTTTTTTTTTAAGCCCCCCCCCCAAAAAAACAGACATAGCTTTTATTTTGAAGCTAACTATTTATTTTAATATTTGCAATGGTATATGAAATATATTATATAGTTATTATATAACAACAACAACAACAANACACACACAAACACACACACACAAACACACACAAACACCCCTCAGGCTGCACAGCAATAAATCCAACAGGGCAAATCAAGGAGTTCAGGAAGCAAAGGATCCAAGTAATTAGTCCAGAAAGCCAGAAAGATTGCAAGGACTCTTGGGAAGTTCAAACGTCTGGCACTAACACTTCAAGGTTTGTTCCCGACAAATGCCCCTCCTAACAGCATCTCCTCAAGTCTCATTCCCAAGGTGTGCCTTGTGAAGACAGGCAAGGCGCTCTCCTCCCAAGTAGTTGGGTCAGTCTGCTCTGTTCTCGCCTTCTCTCCACTCCATGCTCTTGGATCAGGAGGGGGTGGTCCTTGCTCCTCGCCTGAGCTTTGCCTCTTATGTTCATCCTGCCCTTGTTCCTCCCTATCTACAAGCTGTCCTAATCCTGGCCTGACTGGCCCTGCCCTTCCCCATTTTCCTCCGAAGCCAACAAAGCCACCCCTTCAATCTCTGTCGGCTCAATTTCCAGCTCATCTTCCCCCGCAGATTCAGGCTTGGGGCATGACACTGCACCCAGTTTTGGTCCCCACATTGCAAAAAAGATGTTGAGACATTGGAAAAAGTACAAAGAAGAGCAACTAAGATGATTAAAGGCCTGGAAACTAAAACATATGAAGAATGGCTGGGTATGGCTAGCCTAGAGAAAAGAAGGACAAGGTGTGACAATGTCTTTGTCAACTCCTAAAGTTGCCACAGTGAGAAAAGGGGGGGAAGGCATTCCATGCATACTTTTGGCTAGAGTCGGGCCTCAGATATGGCAGCAGGCTTGGGAGAGGTGCACCTCATTGGGGAATGTGATTTATGACGCAGACTGAGGGGGAGGGAAGGAACAGGGGCAGTTCAGCCATAATTCGCATGAGGCTAAGATCTGACTACAAAAAAAAGTTCTTGCCAAAATAAATGCTCCTAAGAAATGACTAATTTTCTTTTGAAATTTGGCTCAAGACTCAATGAATCAATTAGGGCATTTTTTGGAAACCTGACAGTGTTCATATGATGTGTTAATATCCCAGCAATTTTCTCTTGCTGGAACTTAATCTCTCTATTTTTCCCCTACAACCAGGCTGATACTCCCGTGATTTTCCTTTCTACTCACAAGTCTCACCTGGATGGTCTGTGGCTTCCGTTCCTTTTGGTCTCCCAGGGCGTAGCTATGCCACACGTGGCTTGGGAGAACAAAACCTTCACTCCCACCTACAGGTAGAGTCAATGTTCTGGAAACGTTTTGGGGTTTTTTTGTGTTTAACATTTTTATTGAGTTATAAAGCATAAAATACAAAAGTAAATAGAAAAGCAGTGAGGGGGGAAAAGAAGTGAGAAAAGATAAGAAAAAGAAGCATCGACTTCCAACTCTCTCTGTTGCAGTAGAATAAGACATTAACATCAAATCACAAATTTTTGCTTTTTCATAATCATATGAGCAAGCCATTTCTTTAAGATCTGTCAATCTAATCAGTAAAACACCAAATCAGAGTTTCAACAGTCTGGAAAAGATTTTAATCTTTTCTTTTAAATCGATTTATTACATTAGTATAAATCCTAAGTGATATATTGTTTTGATACATGGGTATTTATACAGTGTTAATGAGAGATTATTAACACATTAAAGTTTAGAGAAGTTGAATCTTTGAAGATAGAGAAAAAGGAAGAAATTTATATTGGTGTTAACAGTGATTTGAAATCTGTCTTCATGAACATCAGGTTTAAATGTTACATCCAAAGTAAAATATAACCTTTATAAACAACTGCAAATAATATCAAAATAATTGCTGTGCAATAAAGGTTGTTTTGTCTTAAGCTGAATACTTGATAATAAAGCCTCCACTGCATTGTTACTTATTCTTGCTTGTGCATGAGAAGAAGAAGAAAAATAAGCAAAATAAACAATGGTATATTAATTTGACATGCAGGTAGGTTATAAATTGGACGTACCCTGAGGTGTGAGATCCTATGCCTTCCCATGCTTTTCTCCAGAATTCTTACAAAACTCAGAAAAATATTTTTCCTTGTTCCTTGTTCTTATTTGGCTTGGAGAGCTGCCAAGCAGATATCTGCAAAACTTGGCAAGGAGTCTCGGAGAGTCACGAACCAATTAAGCAAACTAATGGTCTCCTGCAATGTCCACTCCCTTTCGCTCCTCTTTTCTTTCCTCTGGGAGGGGCCATTCATTGTCCACCTGTGGCCTTACTTCCAAGTCGACCCTGTTCTTTAGCTGTTCTCTTCATCTGGCAACTCTGCACATGCGCACACTGAGAACAGGCT